CACATGGGCTATTCCCTTCAATTTTCCTCTCGTATTATCGTGTTGCCGAGGGCAAGGGGAGGCTCATACTTTGCTCAGCATCTTCTCAAGTCCACTTCCTCTGCGAAATACGCTGGGAATAAATTTTCGTGTATCATTTCTTATTTGATACGTTGCGAGCCTTCAAAAGCGTTGATATCAAATACCCCATATCCCGAAGATGAGAAGGGCGTGGCCGCGTACTCAATCTAAACGTGGCGTGGATGCTTTGCTCTAGGAATATTGCCGGTTTGGAACTATTGCAGCCATATCCTTGTCTAGCAGGAAGGATGAAAGTGTTTTGAATGGAAGCATCCCGCGACGAATCCTCCCACTCCATGTTAACATAAGGCACGCAGCCACGCCTCGTCATCTCCGTGATATGGAGTGTGCTTACTAATGCGTTGAACTTATAAAGTACTTCCACTGTTCATTCAGCCTTCTTACCCATCCATTCCAGGTTCATCAACGCCCGACGACGTATTGTGCAACCGATGATAGATCAGAGTAATCGTGCCGGTCGAGCGCCAGCCGTCAGCGTCTTCAAAAATCGAAGGCGGAATAGGAGCGACCAAAGCCCTGGGCCGAGTCCAGGTGAGAATTATAACTAACCGTCGGGTTTTGCTCTGACCATGAGGAACCCTTTGTCAACTTGGATGAGGTTCGCTCTTAAAATCTTTTTGAGATGACAATTAGGTCACCTTGCAGGTTCTAAATAGGCGCCTTTTCTCTACTAAAAAGCTTCGAGTATCCACAATCCGCAGTATGGCCCCATACCTAGCAGCAAACTCAGTACCGCCCTCATTACAATGTTAGCATTATCCTAGGGTTCGAAGACCGCTCCCGTCGTCTTTAGATCCAGATCTCTAGAATCCATATTTTTCCAATATTTCACTAGTGTGACTTGGCGCCAGCGTAAGTGAGGAGTGGGTGGGAGAGCGTTGGTGGTGGAGGGAGGAGTTTGGGGGTGGGGGGGGGAACGGAGATCAGAACGTTGTAGGCGTCCCATTCTTTGCGCACCCGCATACAATCAACAGCTTCAGGTCTCAATGAAAGAGCCTATGGGCCTTCTCCGCGGAACACCCTTTGCGACCGCTAGTTCGTCTGGGCTCCTAATGCCTAAGCTTTTTTCAGGGTTGCGCTTCCCCTCACCATTAACCAGGTTCTAACTAAACTACACGAGACTTTCAAGCTTTTGAAGGTTCGAGACCGTCTCATAGAAAACTAAGTATGGAAAAACACAAACAAGAATGAATGCGGATAATGATAAGTTCGCTAAGGGGGGGGGGGGGGGGGGGGGGGGGGGGGGGGGGGGGGGGGGGGGGGGGGGGGGGGGGGGGGGGGGGGGGGGGGGGGGGGGGGGGGGGGGGGGGGGGGGGGGGGGGGGGGGGGGGGGGGGGGGGGGGGGGGGGGGGGGGGGGGGGGGGGGGGGTATGTAGTTCGCCTGTGCAGAACCAGCAAGCTACCGTAATGCGTAGCGAAGCTCCTCATGCTCCGAAATCGTGTTTCACCCTTCTCTGGAAATCATTCCCGTGTAGGGCTTAGCCAGAAATCCTAAGCTCCATTACGACAATTCCAATGCTGCACAAGGAATCCTTTATGCCCCTCTCCCACCCCTGCAGACCTGTGCCCTTGACCCCTTCTTTTAGGTTTCGCTGTTTTTCTAATACAGATATAGTTCAAACAAATTTCTTACATTCCCTATTACAGATCTTGGAGCCGGCTACTCACCAGATGCGGCGGCTGCCGTCACGATGCCGATGGCCTATCCAGGAGCGGACATCTACAACATGCAACGAACTATGTTCCCGGCCGCCCACTACAGCGCTTTCCCAAATCCGTGAGTACATAGTCCTTTCTTTTCGAGACACAGTATACATGGAATAGTACCCTAATTTACTACTTTTGTCATAAAAATAACCATTTTATTGATTTTATCCGAATTCAGGGCAATGGCAAATCCGTTTATGCCTCAAATGGGAATGATGGGTTTTCCGCCAGCCGGCACCGCACCTTGGATGGATCCAAGCCTTTTGTCGTCCACACACGGAATGGAAGGCTGAACTCAGTAGGTGCACATCGAAAAAGCCTCAGTACGATACCAGTAGGTCCTCTGCGGATTGTCATGACAGTACTATCTTCGTCTGCTGAACAGGAAACAATCGAAGTCTGCGCCTGTCTTTTCTTGGTCGCATATTCGTATTTAATAGATTGTAGGAAAAGTTCTCATCTTTTCAAATATAGGGTTGTAATTTTTTTGTTCTGAAAAAAGCCATTGATTTTTGAGCTGTTTCAAAGCCCACATTCTAACGACCACTGTCTGTACTTTGTCTGCTTTTGCTTCCAAGATAAGGCCATTACTCTGGTTAGGGGAGAACGCGCCACGAACTCTGCTTCTCTGCAACTCACGCGTGAACTCTGGTCGTCTGTGCTCTTGTGAGGCTGAGTCTCGGGATGAAGGGATCACTTCGCCGCACTGCAACTACAGTATGGCCCAAGACGGGGCTGACAAAGGAGCAACATCGACTACTGTAGCATTTCCAATCGATATTGCAGTACAATATCAATGAACCAGCAATATCTATGTAGCGTACTGTAGCGGGACAATTGAATCAGTCAATGACCGATGACCTATTTCCTACTGACTTATACTCGTCATTTGAGGTAAACTCTCGTATAAATAAAAAAATATTTGTAAATTTGAAGAGTTGAGAACATTTTCTAGAATCTATTTTGTAGAATAGTGACGTCTTTCTCGTCGTCTTCTTCTTTTTTGTTTGTTTATTGTTTGCTTATGGTAATTTACGATGATTATATAATTACATGAGTGCCCATTACACTCTCAACGCAACTGCTCAGTTTTCATCGATCTGAGAAAGTCGATATTCTAATCGATATTCATTTCAATTCTCTCTCTCTCTCCATCCACGACATCATTTATTTCATGACGTAATCTAGTTTTAACTATACTGTATCAACCATGTTGTTCTAGTTAGAGGAATTTTGTGTCCTTCACCCCATTTGTTGTCATCGTTTACCCCCAAAAAACCCCCAAGTCCCAACCCCGTCGCACTCATTTTGCACACATTTTTGACACAGGGTCTCTTTGTTTGTTTGTTGAGCTGTGTGTGCGCGCGCGTGTTTTCTTTGTCCTTAGCACGTACTTCGATATAGCTTCAGTGGGTTTATGCTTGCTCGCCGACTTCGCGCCGAGATGCGGACGCAATCGCGTGGTGTCGCGCGATCCCTTGGTGCTAGGCGGCGACGACCGAGTGTGAACTGAAAAGTCGCCTCCTAGCCCTCATTGCTGTGTATTTTCATGATTTTATTATTGACGTTTGGAATGTACTATGTGCTATGATGCAAATCATAAAGATTTTATATTTGAGCTGCTGAGAACACGCGACTTATACGAAGTGGAAAGAGTTGGGTTGCAGTACTACTGAAATCGGTGGCTCACCTCCCATGTATAGCTACATGCCGTTTGACCATGAAACTTTCGGCACGAGCCCCATTCTTTGCATGGCCGTAAGACAACCAATTCCGCTTTAAACAACCTTTGTATATTCTAGGGAGTAGTTTAAGCAATCCTGAATTAGCGATATGATATTCACTGCTTGCCGCTGGCGCCAACAGAAGGTCACGTACTATTCATTACGCAACGAACCAGCCAGTCCTGGGCTCCAGCCGCTTTAGGGCAGAGCGCCGATAACAGCGTAGTGTCATCCGATTAGCGCCAATCCGATGAGAGTGAATTGTCAGCATTCTATTCAGGAAATGTTAAGCTACCTCTGTATCACAATTCTTTCAGCAGGATTTGAAGACGTCTAGGCAATTTTAAAATGAGCTCGGTGCCGAAATTTCTGGAGTCCAAGTGGCATCAGCCCTCCGGCATGATCATGACGCTGGGCAGGCTCTTTCGCCTGATCTCATAAGATCATCGAGCAGTTAACAACCCGTACCCTTCTTGAAGGGACTGGGTGATAGTGCATTTCCTAATTTTGAGAAAGAAGTGTGGGCAGTAGCAAGTGAAGAATCGTCAGAATCGCACTTGAGTTCACCTAACCAGGGGCTCTTTCCCCTTTAGGCTTAGGCTGAAGTTCTGTATCCGTAATGGTAAACCCACTTCTGCAGAGGGAGCCACCAATAATTCTCCCTTGAGCCAAGAACGCTTAAAAATGCTTCCGCTTCCGCTTAAATCTTGCTAGTTGGGAATGAGAAGCTAGAATTTCCACTTTGGTACTTTTTGGCTATTTTGTTTGTATAACTAAAATTCTGGTTCTCTTTTAATGAGCTCCCGCCTTTGGGGAACTGCCAAACTTCTCTGGATGGTGTCGCGCTTCTCTCTTGTTGTAATTCATCCCTCAACACTGGTGCCTGTGGAGGCTTTCAAATAGAACGACTGAATCAACGACTGGATGTCTCACAGTACACGTCTTCCTAAGACTGGGGTTTCACCGCGATGCAGGAAAATCAGTAGTCACGTACAGTCCTTGTTCGTTTAGCATGCTGAGCAGTGTCAGAGAGCTAAAGTATGAATGGTGCAAAAGTCAGTTAGTAGCGAATGTTTTTTAAAATCTTCGGATTTCATTTTCTGAGCATGTGGATGTTCTCAGAAGTTCACAGAGCTTTTCCTTTCTACCTTCACTTTTGTCCTTGCGTAATACTCAAGTCCTTCTAGCGAGGGTCAAGATTAGAAGAGAACCTCTCTTGAACACCATAATTGTGATCACAAAATTTCTATTTCTCCATCTTTGCAGTGTTCTTGTCTAGCTTTTTTTACACGGATTTTTTTTTCACAAATCGCCACTCGAAGTATCGGGTGCATGAAGACCAGCAGCAATCGTGGTCATCTTCAGGTGTCTAGTCTATACTCACTTTTGCATCCACCCTCAAGACGATTACTGACGTATGTGGCCTTGGAAACTGCATCAAGAAATCTTCCTTCACAACAACCACGCCAGCAGAGACGAGATGCGGCAAGGGGTATTGCATTGGGATTTCCGACAGAGACGTGACAGAGATGTTTGCTGGCCTTGCATACACAAGAATCTTCTTATTGGCGGTTGCATACAACCAAATCTTCTTAACTGCCTTATGTATTAACGCTCATACTTATGTATAAATCTGTTCCTATCAATTGCTGCATTCACATTTCTTCCTGCATTAAACCAAAAAGACACTTCGACAAGATAAACCTGTTGGGGATTTGTAAAATACTGAATGTTCAGATATCCGAAATCTGCCAAATACCGGTGCAACTAACTGGTGGTACATTTTTGCGTCTATAGGTTGCTGAAACATAAAAATTGCAAAAATTGGCCAAGGGAAACTCAAACTAGGCATGTTCATGCTATCAACTCTGCTCATTCCTAGCTGACAAACTCGCAAAACTCGTTGGCGGTATTATCGAGAACAGAACTCGTGACCGATTTTTAAGTGAAAACGTGCACGTCCCTCCTCCCATTTGTTGAATCGAGGAATAATAAATCATAAGAATGCTGAGTTATAGATGGAAACCTGGCGCCAACTATAACAGGAACGCGGACCTCAAGCTCACCAGGCTGGTGTGTCAAGCAATTTCCTACAAGAACCACATTGCACCCTCTCAAAAAGTCCTGACTGAGGTTGGTCCCGATCCACCTACGGCTACTTTCGGATTGCGAGCTGCGGTGAAAAATCGCAGCTAAGGTAAGGGAATGAACTGCGAGAGGGTTTACCGAGAACAGTTTAACGGCTTGAGCTTCGGATAGCTTTAGCTAGCTGTCACTGTTGCTTCTTCCTAGATGTACGAGGTGGCTACTCGATGTTGGCGTTAGGGTACGAGGTAGCTGCTCTATCTTTCCGAATGTGCGCCAACGGAACTCATTCGACTTGATTTGCTGTAGTAGCGTTTGCATGGCAAGGTTTTCAGACGTTCTGTTGATGTGGAACTTGTGGTATGCTACCATGCGACTCGATAGACAACGAAAAAACACTGTGAAACGGTTACGCCATACATATATCATAAATTATGCCAATAAATATTGAAAAACAGGGCGGGCGGAAACCGCAAGTTGGGTCTGTTTGTACCTTGGAAATAAAACAAGATCGTAGATGAGACTGTAGCTCAGACTCTTGTTCACTCAGGGCATCTTTGGGAATACAGCTTAATGTGAAAATGCGTGAGAATTTATGTGAGATAGCTATTGATAAGCAAATTGTCACCATTTCTTGGTCCATTTTTTAAATTCAAGCTGTATTCTTACGGAAATTTTCTAGCACAGGTCTTTTCTAACTATGTTTCTATTTTGATAGCTCCACCTTTGTTCGACTAGATTTGCGTCTATCCTTTCCTTACTAGTTTCTGTGAACTCGAAGGCTGCTCTATGTTGGTAAAATCTCACACTGGTAAAATCTGCAGACTCTTGTCTAATGTAAACGAAGAGGGTGCTATTGCATAGCTTTACAAACTTCACAGTTTCCCCCAGGAAGTGTCGGCAATGATCGATGGGAACCAGAAAACGCTCCCAAGAGGTCGAACCGCACTAACCTTTGTACGGGGGATACAGTTTGCTGGAATTCAGTACGCGGAGGTGGGGTGACCCTCTGGACAACAAAGTGGTCTCAGTCTCAAAAGAGAATGCCTCGCGTCCTCGCAGCTGGAACTGATGCCGAAATACTTCATACCTTCGAAGTCCATAACGTGTGAATGATCCCCTGAACCCTCTGACCCACCCCCCCGCCCCTGATGCGAGAGTCAATTCGGTTACAGCGAGTCTACCTTGGTCCATGCTACATTCCCTGGCTCCAAACCGAATAAAAGCTTGAGGTATGGTAGACTACCTTGGGGGTCGCGTCTATAGGCGAAAGTTCTCCGAGAACTTATTCCCAGGAAAAACCAAGCCCTAAGATCGAAAAAAAATGGTTGGGCAAAGTTCGAGTGATTCTTAATCGGAGTTCGTGGTGCACCTATAATATTAAAGAACCCGGGCTCACGCAACTGACAATAAATTTAGGATGTTATCAAAATGCATAATGGTTAACGCAACCGCCCGGCAAGCGAATGCGGCATCGAGGCCA